CAAGGCGTCATGATCGTAAGCATTTTAACGGCTTTTAGTTTAGCGGTAAGTACCATCGTTAGTAGCATCGTAGCTAGCGTCAGAGCTGCCGGAGCGAGCAAACCAACACCTGAACCTGAACCCGCACCAAAACCAACGCCGGCTCCTCCTTCCAAAGGTGGAATTACCGATTGGATCAAACGTCAACTGTGGAACCTGGCAAACGTATTGAAGAAACTCGGGTTGAAAGCTTTAGGCGCTTTGCCCGGGGACATAGGTAGCATTTTGAGTTGGATTTTTAACGTGCCGAGTAAAGCGGTCGGATGGGTGGCAGAGCACGTGTGGACCTAATTTGTAGGCTTGGGTGTTTTGATTTTGACGTACGTGCAAAAAGGGTAAAAAGGACAAAAAAATTAAATCTCACCTCAAATTTGGGGTGAGATTTTTTTATGCCTTAATTCAAGATTTGGCTCGCTTCACTCGCTCGTTTAAGTTAAAATTTTATATAACGTAAAACCGATGACACCCACGGCAACGGCTCCGATGGTTAAGGACAGTTTCTCTTTGTTGTGCGCGTCTAAGGGTTTGCTTAAAACTGGCTTTACGATTGGCCTCGGTAACACTTCCGGTTCTGGTTCTTCATTAAAATCAGCTTCGCTATTTAAACTCGGTACGTATCCAGTCTTCATATCCGCAGTCGCGACTTGTAAATTATTGTTATAGCCCTCAAACGTGCCGATGCCTAAGTCCGAGGGCACCAGGTACAAACCCGGGGCAACTACGAAGTTTAAAGGCGTTTTTGCGTATTGTAGCGAATCTTGAAATTGGTCGATCGACTGTTCGAGATCGGGGTCCGAATTAATTAAAGATTCCACGATCGTAATAAATTGCCGTTGCGCGTCTAATCCGGTGCACGCTGGTCTTGGTCTGTGCCTGTGTTCCCCGAATAACGCGTAGACGTAAGCTCGAATTGATTCGTTTACTTTGGTGATTCCCACGTCCGTCAACCGAGACTTTTTAGGAACAAAATCCCACCAGGCCAAAGTAACCGCGTCCGACTGTGAAATCAAGGTGACCGTGTAGGTACTCGCGTGACCGGAACCTTTAGGCGGTTTAGCCCATCCAAAGCCCATGTAAGTAGATCCCGCGTATTTACCGTTGGTCACGTGTAAGTCGTGCACGTCGTAGTTTTTACCTGGAACAGGTACGTAACCGTCGTCGTAATGATAAGCGGTGCCTAATCCGTTCGACAAAGTGTCTCTTGTTTGTTTATACGATTTATTCGGGTCTATTCCGTATAAAAGGCACGTGTCGGTAAACTTCCGATGGTCATAATTATTGTGTAACGCGTCAAATACGTCGTCGCTCGGAATGGGCATCACGCAGTCATAAAATATTTTTCGTACGGTGTAATACGTGAAAGTTAAATAAAGCCGAGACGTACGGATTGGGGTCAGACAGCAGATCAAAACCCACACCGCAGGCCGTCATCGCGCAATAGACCGCGAAATTAAATTGATTTTGGTAAAACGATATCGACTCGGTAGACCAGCGATTGACGGCTTCGTCCGTGGTTACTTTCGGTAATTTATACGCGTGCGTTAAATTTGGAAACTCGGCTGTAAAGGAATTTTCTTCGTTGACTACAATGTTTAGACTACTTAAATTGCCTCCCATTTATTTTAAAAGACTTTTAAAAAGGAGGGGCTGTCGGTTGGGTGAAAATGGTCGGGTTGATCGTTGTGCTCGCTTCTCGATAAGCGGGTGGAGATTCTGGTTTCTCTTCGTATTTAACCGACTTTGTAAAACTTATTCGCCAAGTTTTTTCATAAGATCTTTTTTAAAACGG